GGAGGGCGGGAAGAGAGAGGAGGGACACAGGGACACATTGAGGGGATCGACCTGCAATCCTGTGGCGAGAGGGCCGGCTCTCTAACCGCTGAGCCACACCGGCCAGGGCTCAAGAACGATTTTAAACAACAGGTAAAGTGATTACTAGGGGTAGTATGTTGGCCGATAATTTTGTTAAAACATAACAACTGAGGAAAATCAGCATTTGGAAGTGACTGCTAAGCTTCATCAGAGTACTTACTGGATACAAAGCCCTTTTTAGTTCTTACTTTTAAATATCAGATCAGTGAACAGAGGAGGAAGGGCAATTAAAAACCACAGTCTGACAACACCCCCTTCCACCTGAGAGGGGCGGCGACACCACAGCAACATGGCTTCTCCCAGCACTTGGACCTGGCGCCTTTAACACCCCCAGTTTGTTACACACGCACGTACACACACATGCGCACACACACACAGAGTACACTGCTGTNACGCACGTACACACACATGCGCACACACACACACGGTACACGGCTGCTCTCCAATGTAAATAAATAAATTCTCTGTTCAACTGGATGGCTAGGCACTTTTTTGTCGACATTTTAAAAGAAATTATAAAAATTATTTCAAATTAATCCCAATATGAATGTTTTACTATACAATAAAAATGTTACTAAATACAGAATAAAACTGTTTATTCAGTTCTTGGTAGGATAGAGGTCAGAGAGTATAATACAGTTCAAATAAATAAAGTAGCTACTTGAATCGACAAAAAATAAATACCTGCTAAAGGGAGAAAATTACTAATAAACATTGAAAAGAAATGGGCAAAACATCTTGTAAATTTTATAGATTTTGCATTTTAAAATTATAGTTCATCAGAAACTATGCTTTTTGTTTACACTGACACTGAAGTAATTCCATTTTGGCTTAAACTATGGTAATTTATCCCTATGTATATAAACATAATATTCTTTCTATATTTTAGAATAAAAGTTGTACAATATTAAAAAACTTAAGTAAATTGCAAACAAAAATGTGAAGTTATATGCACATTTCTGACAATTGTAATAATTTCTGAATTATTACAATTACTATGTTATAAAATGCCAAACAGCCTGGCCAGAGTGGCTCAGCTCGTTGAGTGTTGTCCTTGCACCAAAAGGTTGCGGGTTCGACCCTGGGTTGAGGTGCACATGGAAGGGCCAATCGATGTTTCTCTCCCTCTCTCTAAGCATGTCCTCAGGTGAGGATTACATAAATAAATAAACAAGGAGAAGGCCAAACATGGGCAATGTGTCCAAGTTATGGGATAGTTACGGTGAAACAATAAAAGTGTATCTTTAATAATTTAGTAAACTTGTTCACTTGAAGACAAAGCAAACCTCACCGTTCCGACTAATGTGCCAAATTCCACAGGGCTCTGCATGTATGACTCTTGTTGCTGTGCTGTTTTTTGGAAATAGGTGATATCTACACAAACTGAAGGAGGGAGAAGCTAAAGCCTGGCACACGCCCTGTCATCGCTGTGCACACCGTGCTAGGCCCAGGCGTGGCGCCCACTCACCACAGGCCAGTGCTCCGGGACGGCTTCGGCCGCATCCAAGCTCCGACCCTTCCCCCCAGCAGCTCTGCCTGGGCGAGGCGGTGTCTACACCCCTCGGTGACCTCTCTGTACTGGCCGGTTTTATCCCATTTAAATGCTGTGAAGGAGGAATATTTATGCTAAGTGTACTAGCAGTTGGTAATAAATGGCTATAGATTAGTAAAAAAAACTCTTTAATTACACTTCCGTTAAATAGGAGAGAGGCTGGCAAAGAAGAATCTAGATAACTTGTTACCTTACTTACAAAGTGAAATGTCCATATATCAAAAAAGAGTAATTCCAAAATGTTAAATGTTATTTTCTTAAGTCCATTTGGTCTTCGAAAATCTGTGTAGTCATTAAATGAAATTTCTTGTCTTTTCCCAAAGGGCATGGCGCTGCTATGTGCCTTTCCTTAACTATTGTGACGACCAGTGGAGACTGCTCACGGATGTATCTGTCTGACTGAAAGCTCCACGTTCTTTCTTATTTAATCCCCACCTGAGGATACTGTTTTTAAAACTGATTTTTAGGGGGGGAAAGACAAAGAAAGAGAGATCAATGTGAGAGAAACCGATCCGCTGCCTCCTGTACATGCCCCCCGGGGATCGAACCCGCAGCCCTGCGGTGCTCGGGACGCTCCCAGCCGGCGGGCCGGTGGCGCTCAGTGTTTCCCGCACACCCAGCGCAGCCGGGGCTCGGCGCCCAGCTCGGCCAGGCCCTCGGCGGTCCTCCAGCTGCACTGGCAGGCGTAGGCCCGCGCTCCTTTCTTCTCCACCAGCTTTGTTTTTAACTTGTGGGACTCGGGCATGTTGTTCCTGTTAGAAAAGCGTGAATGTTTCAGAACAGGGGCTGTGCCAGTGCCGAAGACGTGAAGGTCTAGTGGCTTTCTTTTCCCATCTTGACAGCATCTGAACACAACAAACCTCAGTTCCCTTCACACAAGCACCAGGAGATGTGCTCCAGTGTTCTTTCTGGTGGCATCTCCTCGGGAACTAATACTTTTTCATGGCAATGCTCTAGGCCCGTCTATTAAGGCTGTTTAGAACACAAGGACCTAAAAAGCTGAACTATTGGCCTTATCAGAGATGAGATGAGAATGGGGCGACTCGCTTCCTGGACTGTTGGCTAAGGTCAAGTGAGAGCAGAGTGAAAGGCCCGCGGCTCCCCTCCTGCCTCATGCACTCCCCAGACCACGCCCCAAAAGCCCACTACGGGGACCAGGCACAGACGCTCGGAGGGAACAGGCTTCCGACGGGTTAAGTACAGAAGTGATTCATTACTAGAGAGAAAGTGTGGGTTATTTCTGTGTGTTGAACTGACATTCTTTCATTTTTTAATGGTATGTTATTTACTTATAGTATTAGCAACAAAATAACCGCCTAACCTACATTACATGACGATGTTAAAATAACTAAATCAATTGGCAGGACCATCATGAAAATGATAACTGTCTGATTTGATGCAGTTATGAAAAGACTAGATAAGTTAATTTAACTAATTGAAAGTCAATTATGATTTTCATGATAACCCATGTACTGAATTTATGTAACTATTCTGTGGCAGAAGAAAAATAGAAAAATTCAAAATAAAATAATAAAAAATGCAAATTAAAATGATGAAATACAATATAAATATTAAAAAAGATATAGTCCCATCTTTGCTTTTTGTGTCCCTGCAGTAGAAGGCAGGCTACAAAGTGCCCTCTGGTGGCCGATGGATGCCACACTCAGGACTGTATGGTACAAAATCCAGGCACAATTTTGAAGGTTAGAACCTCACAAAACCTGAGAGATTTTCCAGGTAAACTGTCTGATTCAGGAAACTGAGACTCTGATCAGCTAAGTGACTTAACTAAGGGGATAGTGAGCCAGGGGAAGAGATGAATCATCCAAATTTTATCAGAAAGGAAAAAAATCCACAAAACTAAATGTGTTTAATGAAAACTAAATAGTTAAATGAAGAAAAATGTTCATTATTCAATCTGCAATATATTTTGACAAATTTAACACCTGATTGACTTCTTTTTTAAAATATGATTTTTAAATTGATTTTAGAGATAGAGGAAAAGAGAGGGAGGAGGAAGGGAGAGAGAAACATCAATGCGAGAAGAGACACATCAATCGGTTGCCTCTCACATGCAACCTCACCAGGGATTAAGCCTGCAACCTGGGTATGTGCCCTGACCAAGAATGGAACTGGCAGCCTTTCGGTGCACAAGCTGATGCTCCAATCAACTGAGCCACACAGGCCAGGGTGTGGCTGAATCTTTAATTAGAGATTTTAGGAGCAGGAGCCATGAATAGCCGGGGAACTAATTAATACATTTCAAATGCTTTTTAAGAAACACATATCTCAAAAGTTCGGAAAGAAAATTTCATTATTTCCCATAGAGAAAATGATTTAATAGAAAAACAAAGCATTTTGTTCAGCCACCATGGCATGATAATCAAGTACAGTTTATACTTCTTTCAGAAAGTTCTAGAACTTGTCAAAGCTGGAATATTTATTCCCCTCATTTATAAAATAAGGACAATAAAACAGCATGACGTCCTGAGCATAACAGTGTTCAGACAGACACCACTAGAAACAAATGGCTCCCCACGTTCTGCTGCGCATCCAGTGGCATCTGCAAACCTTTTACCTCGCTTCAGTCACCACCTCTTCTGAATTCCCTCAGCAATTCCTCCCTCCCCGCTAAGTGTCGCATCCTCTCCCTGAAGCCTCCGCCTCCGCGCCTTCCCCATGATGCATGAGTGTCTCACCTCTTCCCACCCACAGAGGTGAGCTCCTTTTCCTACCCAAGGCTCCCTTTCCATCAGCGCTCCAGACCCAAGGTCTCCAGGACCTTGTTACTCACATGCCCTTACCTCCCACATCTCCCCCACCCCAGACAAAGGTGGATGGCAGGTGGGGCTGGATCGTGGAGGGTCTCGGGTGCCATACTAAGGAGTTTGGACATGATTCTGTAAACAGAGGGTTTTGGGCTGGGGAATGGCATACTCTTAGTTCTGCTTTACTTCTCAGCCAGGAAAAGGTGGTCTGAAAAAAGAGACTGGGGGCAGAAAAGTCAGCGAGGAGGCTCTATCTATAGTCTTGCCCAGGAGTAACATGTTCTTCCTGGGCTGACAGCAGGCAGATGTTAAAAAGGAGATGGAGGAGAGAAACACTGAAGAGGCAGAGGCCACACAATCTGGCCATGTCCACCAGGAGACATTACATCAAAATAAGGAATATAAAGTTATACTTGGTAAATTTTTCACAGTGGAATTCTTTGGAAACATACCTGAAAAAGAGATAATCGCATGACTTGTCCCACATGCAGTCATCGTAGCTTACTACCCTGAAATCGCACGCTGTACAGCGCAGATGGTCACACGCTCTGTTCGGAGAGAAAGGACAACACATTAAAGATTATTAAAAATATGGTGATTTATTCATAGGCTATACCACATATTACAAATTACTAAGTAAACAAAAAAAGGAAAGATTAAACTGATTATACATTTTTATACTAAAGGACTAATTATATATTTAAACTTTCAGGTTAAATTTCTACGCATACCCATTTTACTAAGATCTCATACTCTGGACACCTGTGCACACATGTATATTGTACAGATATAAAAGAAACAGAGGATGTGTAGATCTTTTAGTTCAGTGGTTTTCAAACTGTGTCTGAGGGAGGTCTTCACTTCTGTAAGTTGCTAACTTTCCTACTGATGTTTTCAAGGGTGACTTTATATAACTTTCAAGTTTGTTTTTATTTTTTCAATAAGGACATAATCCTTCTGCAATTAAATAATAAAATAAAACCCACCATCAGATATTTGTCACTTATTTCTCTTAAAATTCAAATATGGTAACTTCCAAATTGCAAATTCCTTTTGGCCTAACAGTTCCTTTGAGAATAATGCTGTTTCTAAAATTATGCTTAATCATAACAGTAACTAAACATTCAAAATCTATACAAGTTTCATAAGCAATCCCAAATTTTCTTTTAAACTGTTAGCAACTTATGAAGTTGTATTTGTACATATGGAAATCAGACACAATTATGTTCGTACACATTTGAACTTGGTTTTGAATATACAGTCAGGAAATGCGAAATGATGGTCCCAGTGCTGCTATACCTTGCTATCTGATGCATACGCAGTTTATTACATGACGGCACAGAGTGTTAACTTTAATGCCTTAATACATATGTGCAATTTGGCTGAATTACTGCTGTTGTGGGAACTATAATTTTGAATTTCCTGACATTTTGTATGTGTAAAATCTCAACCATAATGTTACATACAGCTTTTTAATTTAATTTAAAATTTAGTGGTTTATTCAAATCTATTCACACTACCACAGTTTCCTACAAACACTGTCCTTTGAGAAAAATAAAACTAACTTGCAGCTAAGAAATCATTCGGCTGCTACGACTCACTTTGTTAGATCATAATTAGTACCAGTCTATGGAACGACCCAGTCTTGCAAGTAGTTTAAAACATAATTAGAGGAGTAAAATTCCATTTGGCTTGAAAATAACACTTTCGTTTTATCTATATCTTATTAATGCCACTGCGGTTCCTGCTACTATTCTTTCTCCTTTCCACCCCAAAGGGTAAAAACTCAAATCTTTATGCTCTGCAATCACTGAGTATTAGTCCTAAACCAGAAGTCTACCCAGAATCCAAACAAACAAAACACATGGAAAATAGGCAGCACAGACTCAGTTTCATTTGTGCCCTGGGCGTGTAAACCAGTGCTTATATTCAGGGCTTAAAACTGTTTCTCTTCCATAGCTGGGTACAACTAGAGCACACCTAAAATAAAGTAATGATTCCGATGAAAGACAGACTGTCAGGTTTCTTTCTCTAAAATGTGGAGGCAAAGGAATACAAATGTGTCATCAACAGTTTTGTCCCTTTGTTCAACCAACCAATAGAAAGCTTATTATTTTAAAGACGTTTATGGTGGGAATGCCCCAAATACAGCCCCAAATGGTCTTTTGCCCGTGGTTCTTTGTTAAATCCTGTCAGATCTACACAGTGGACTACGGAGTCGTGGTGTTTGGACAGTTGGAAAGGAACAGCAGCTGCAGTAGCAAAACCATCAAAGATTCTCCCCTTACACACATCACATGGCCTTCTACAAACTGGTTTACTAGAAAGCACAGTGGAGCTTTCAGGAATCAAGTCACATGTTCGAGTCCTTGCTTTGTATTACTTCATGTGACCTTGGGCAAGGCATGTTACCTGGGAGCCATTCTTAACAGTGTTCTCTCTTAGCCATTAAATTCACTGAATCTTGCAAACTCTAGATTCTAAGTAGCTTGAATGTGACATCTTTTCCCTACAGTACTGCCACCACTCAGATCACAGCCACCACTATCATCTCTTCCCTGGACGACTGTCACCACTGCCCGCCGACTGGTCTCCCCCGGTCCTCTCCCGTCTTGCCCCTCTACCTCCCAACCCATTTTCTATTCAGCAGCCAAAGTAACTCTCTTTAGAAACACAAATATGATAAATATGATTAGGTGACCCCATCTGCTAAAAACCAACCAGCCAGCCAGCCAGCCAACCACCAATGGCTTTCACTGCATATATGCCAAACTTTTCTAAAATCTAGAGGACTATAGGAGCGCGAGCAAACCAGATGTCCCTCAGCTACCTGCCCAGCCCCCCGGAGCCGTTCCTTCCCCCACTCCCTGCGCCAGCTCTCCCGGCTCCCAGGCATCTAACAGGCCCCCCTCTGGCCCCGGTCCCCTCTGCTCAGCTTCTCACTTCCTATCAGCCTGCCTCAGCGATGCTTGCTCAGGGAAGGATTTTCTACCCTTCCTGTAGCTGGGGGCCAATCATCTATGTTGTAGTCCTCTCTGCTTCCCTTCACAGCACGCGCTATGTGAAAACTAAAGACTTCTTTTTGGGGTTAGTTATTAGAGCCTCTCCTCGAGACCGAAAGCTCAGGGCGCAGCTCCTCGGGCTGTGTGGCCGTCAGGGAAGCCCTCAGAGCTGCACAGCCGCCTGCTCTGCTTCCCACCCACTGGCTCCCGCTGCCCCGAAGGAAACCGGCCAAAGCAGCTCCTCTCCTGGGTCCCGTGGAAACCAGGCTGCGGCCGGAGTGGCCCAGGCACGTCAAGTGGGGCTCAGAAAAAGGCGTCAACACAACGAACGGCATAAGCCCAACGCCACAGCTCTCAACAGCTCTCCCAAGATGAACTAGGATTCCAGTCAAGAGCTCTTGGATTGGCTAATCAAATATGCTTCTCACCATGAAACGATTGATGCCAAGATAACAACTATGTTTTAACAACAGGGTATCAATTTGGAAAACCTAGTAAGAGAGTCTGTTTTTGACGTCCCACCTCTGTGAAGTAGTCGTTCCGATGCCACATGGAGCAGAGCTTCCCCCCAGGTACACAGGGCTGCAACTAGACATGTTCAACAAACGGGAAAAAAGAAAGTTACCAGAAAGAAATACGAGAAGTTAGTTTCATTCTGTTGACTCTATAGTCTTATAATCAAACTGTATATTTTCCTGAGCAAGCCAACTACTTTAAAGAGGTATTTACTCTGGGATCACTGCTCTACGGGATATAACTTGTATGTTCAGGAACATGCAGAGTTAAAATGAGTCACAGAAAAATGTGTTTGCCAAATAGTGTAAGGGACAAAGTAAATACTGAAAACTATAACAGAACATTAATTCTGAGAAACTATTCACACTTTTTTTTTTCACATGGCAGAAAATTATTTACAATAGCAATAATCCCCGATTCAAGTTCCTTTACACCACAGGGTCGCAGACAGTAGGAACACTACAGGTATTGCTATTGGTCTTTCTCCCGAAAGCCAACCAGTGCTTTGTTGCTCAATGTCACTGTTGTGCGACTGGTAATAAGATACACGAGACTGTGCTCACAGTGTTTGCTCACCAGTGTGTATAATCTACCAAAGCGATCTCAGCTTACCTTTTACCAAGGCCTTGAATGGACGCTCTGACAGATGTGGTATCTGAAGATTTAGACTTTAATTTCTGTTAAAAAAACAAAACAATAAAAGGCCAAGAGTAACTTAGATAATTGTAACATGAAAACTAATATTCTTTATTTTATAACAAGAATATTTTTTAAATGGCTTAAATAAAAAAGAATTGTATCATTTTAAAGTTTCGGAAATAAAAACAATGATCATCAAAACCTTTTCCTTCAAGGCAAAAGGGAAGTAGACCTCCCCGAGGAATCGGCAAATTACTCTGCTAACTTTTCGTCTAGGAAGTTGATATACTGCCATTATTAGCATGCTAAGATTTAGAGTCACTTTATAACTCTTCAGTTAATACTAGAGTTCAGTGATTTAATATGAAGGACCTTCTATTTAAAACCTCATCCTGGAAAAATTCAATTGATGAGGGAAAAAACCTCAGGCTCATTTTTAAAGGCTGTGAATGGTACTCACCTGAACTAAAAATAAACTAACCAAACTCCTGGGTAGCTTCAGGAATATTAATTTTGATCAAATGCAAAGGTATCAACCAATAGGCATTTGAGGAGAATGTAGAACTACCTGGCCGCAGCCACACAGTAGTTCCTATATGGTTACATAGCAGCAGCAGCAGCAGGCATTTATTAAGTGTTAACTGGCACATGGTACCAAACAGCATAAACCAACCTGCATACTCGGACCACCGCCAAGCAGAGGAAGTGAGACGGAGAAAAGGCGATTCAAACTATGCAGAGACATGCCTTCATTTTACCTGGTAGGTGAGGAAACTTAATGGAGGCAAAAATATTTCATTTTACTATTTCTCTTAACTTTTCATTTGATGTTAAACAGAGCTGGAAAAATCCGGGGTGCATGTCTCAAAAATAACATGCATGAGTCTCCTGTTTTCCGGAATGTTTCATGTACCATCCGGGCTCNATGTCTCAAAAATAACATGCATGAGTCTCCTGTTTTCCGGAATGTTTCGTGTACCATCCGGGCTCGGCTGACTTGAGGCTGGCCTGCTGTTGGTTCTGGGCTTTTCTGTGTGGGGCTGAGAGCAGTTCAGAAACACAACAGGATGGGCGCGCCTGGGGGAAGGAGCAGCACTCTCGGAGCACAGTCTGGCCTGGGGGGGGGCCTGGGCTGGCCCCTCAGGCGCTTCTGTCTCCAGCCCGTGTTCCATAGACCTGCGCTCCTTCGGTTTATTTGGGTTGCTTCCTCCCTTGCAGGCTGGAAAACTGCATATAACTAAAAGGAGGAGCCTATAGAAGTACATAGAAGTTTTTTTCTTCACGACTGTAAGTTGCTTTGATTTAAAATTTGTATGTTTTTCCGTTAATCCGCACCTCCTCGCCCGAGGGTATTTTTTCCATTGGTTTTGAGAGAGTGGGAGGGAGGGAGGGAGAGAAGCACTGATGTGAGACACATTGATTGGCTGCCTCCTACTGGGCCAGGATCGAACCCGCAACCCTTCAGTGCTCGGGCCGGTGCTCTAACCACCGGGCCACACCGGCCAGGGCTCAAATTTGTGAATCTTCAAGCCAGGCCAGAGCAGTATTCCCTTCTGCTTCGGAAATGCCCCGAACTGAAGAAGTGCCTCACATATGGATACACAGCCTGGAGGCGCTTAATAGACAACTGCTCGGGAGATCCTGTCACAAGAACATCATGGCGCTCAACACCCCTGCTGCTGGGCTGACATATTAATCACCTAGGCCAGCAGCGTATTAACTTACCTCGGGTTAACTGAAAATGTTAAATTTAGAGAACTAAAGATCTGACAATCTACCCTAGTCATTTTACTCTTCGTATGGTTGACAAAAATGGAAGTGGCCCATGTCCATATCCTTACCAGCACCTCTGCCTAGTGATTTTCAGCCCAGTTTTGCTTTAATCTTCCCTACGTTTTAAAAAAACCTCGTTGGTATCATATGTATTTTTTAGATGTTTTTTACTTTGTAGTCCTTGTAACTTAAGACTTTCATTTGGTCCCTTTCTTTAAAATCTAACAAATATATTTTGCAACCACCAAAATGGTAATTCTCATACACGGCTGGCAAGAATATAAATGATATAGCAGTTTGGAAACACGTTGGCAGTGAGTAAAAAAACTGAAAACGAGCGCGCCTTATAACCCAGCAGTTCCTCTTCAAGGTCCACACATCCTAGAGAAGCTCCTGTGCACAGTAAAAGGACGCAGGATGGCTGAGGCACTGTTTGCAGGAGCAACAACCAGGCCTAATTTAAACGCCTATCACGGGGATATGGGTAAGCTGGAGGAACTACGTAACAAGCTACCACATGTCAGCAAAAACTTCATGGCTATACACCCATGTGATACAAGGACAAAAGTACGCAGAGAGGATAATGGTTACCTCTGGAGGAAGGCAGTAAGTAGGATCTGGACAGTTCTTAAACTAGTTCTATCATTTTTATTTTTAAAAAAATCAAGAAAAGCAAGTATGGCAAAACATTAACATATGTTCAGGATGAGCAGTATCTTAAGAGCTTTATTTTCAGTCTTTTAGAAAAGTGTTCTTACAGAGTCTACAAATAAATTTTCCAACTTCAGGTAACCAACTTCAACTAGGAATTGACTTTTGTTCTACCAATTTTTCTAATTTCATATTCTTGCTGAGAAATGAGTATCAAAACACATACTGAGAATTTCTAATATTTTATCTCTTTTACAACTCTACATGGCGCCAGCTCTTTGGGGCAGGCCCGGGGGGTGGAGTCAGGCCCTGGCAAGGGCTGCCAGAAACCTTGTGGACACACGGACACAGAGTTGGGAACTGAGAATCTTGGCCTAACAGGGAGAAGAGCTGGATGATAGTATTTCTCAGAATGCAAAGAACTATAGATGCTTGTGCACTCTGTAAGTTTTCAGACTATTATAAACATTATTTCATTATTTCTTAAATAATGAAAAAAAAAAATTACTGCATATTTATAACACTTGACTTACAAAGGATTTTTTATCAAAGTTGGGATCTTCAAATATTTCATTAATAAGACTGTCAAGATCATCTTCTCTTTTAAATCTTTCTGTTGATCTGAAAAACAACAAAACACCTGAAGCTTAAGAGCATATAGTCAGGCAGAACAGGAGAGTCAGCTTACATAAGATTCTGACCTATAATTAGATCACAGTTTCATGATGCCTCATCTGTGTATGCTTTGCTACAGAAATGAAAAAAAAATTGCGATCATTTCATTGAGAACTCATACAAATTTTAAAGGACAGTGTAACATTTTAATTTTTTTGGTCTTTTGCTACTATAATATTAACTGAAGGTTAATAAACATTTATTGCTTTTCCCCTAACTTTGCTTCTTATAGTCTAGTCATTTTTAAAAAAAATATCTTTATTGATTTCAGAGAGAGGAAGGGAGAGGGAGAAAGAGAAACATCGATGATGAGAGAGTCGTGATCAATCAACTGCCTCTTGCACGCCCCCTGCTGGGGATGGAGCCCGCAACCCAGGCATGTGCCCTGACCAGGAATTGAACCTGGATCGCCTGGATCCAGAATTTTAATGCTTGACCCTTATATACCGGGTAGGGATTGTATTTGGCGTTAGGGTTAGGGCCTCTGCTTCTTTTGCATAATTAACCTTCACGACTACATTGTCAAATGAAAAGTTTTAACACACGAAAACCGTCCTGGTTTGCTGCGGCTTTTATAAACGTGCTATTGAGAAACCTGGCATAGCAGGGCGAGATGCAGCTCTGGAAGCACTGCGGATGGATTTTAGCAGGACAGTGAGAGGCTACGGGGACAGGCATAAGGGGCCCTGGTCGGGAGAGCACCCCTGGGCGCCCTTTCCACTCTCAGCAGCCTGATGCGGGCCGTCCTACCCCTCTGCGCCTACTTCCAAGACAACCAGGCTCTGGGAGGCTGTCTGATCATCAAATTCCATGCATTCCCCAAAGGCACGGAAAAAAAGAATAAAGGGACTAGCAAGGTAGCGCCATCGCCGTGGGGCAGGGATGCTGGGCGTGCGGGGAGGAGCGCAGAGGACCCCAGCACCGAGGTCACGCACGAATTAGAGTGGCTCCTGCGGCCACAGCTAACGGAAGGGCCGCCAACCGCTCAAAGCAGTCGTTTCAGTTGGCTGCACAATTGCTTTTCAGACCACCGACCGGCACGCAAACTAAGTTTTACAACTGGCTTCGGAACGTCAGCATCTTTTCAACGTGCGTCTCTTCCGAGCGTGAGCTTTTGTCAATAAATAAACGTCGTTAGAGGGAAACCTGGTGGGTTCGGCCACAGCCCGGCTGAGCAGCACCCGCGGGAAATCCGCGCCGCCGCGGGC